CTGTAGTTATCTATGGGCTCTAGTTGCTTGTTTGATCACTTGCTTTTGTTTGAAAATGTGCTTATGGTGTGGGTTTTGAAAGTAATTTGAAAACATATTTGTAATGATTCTCGTTTCTATAAGAATGCGTACAAAGTGTTGATTTTGAAAATAGTTCAAAAAGGTGTTTGTGGAATGTGTTTTTGAAAGTGATTTTGAAAACTGTCTTTGTAATGACTCTCGTTTCTATAAGAATGCGTACAAAGAGCTTTTTCTTTTGAAAATGTTTCAAATGAAAGTGTTGGTGTATAAAATGTTTTTGTTGTGAGCAAGCGAGAAACCAGGAGCATCCTACCTACTCAAAAGGTCTAATGTTCTTTTCCTCCTCCTTTAGATGTTGCTATCTTACCATTTATTTGGTAAGAAGCCCCATCATTGGATATGAAGGGACGAGCACGGGACGTTTGTATAGTCATAGAAGGCAACCTATAGGACGTTTTAGGAATGTCGTTTATGGACTAGATCGTTTACCGAAGGCAACATTGAGGGTCATCGAGGTACTACGATCTTTTATCGAGGGTCTTTTCTAAAATGCCCATATTCGAGGGACATGACTATTTTCCGAGGCAACAGGTGAGATTACCCTAGGGGTGCATGTATGTGAATAATATGTTTGTTTTGCATGCATTTTGTCTTTGATTTTTGGGTTGTCTACTTGTTGTTTTTATCTTGCCATACATCCTAATTACTAACATTTGTACAAAAGTAATAAAAATGCAGAAAATAAATCCTACATTGTTACAACCATATTGAATAGCAAGACAATACAAAGACAACAAAAATAAAAGAAAGAAAAAAGAATGCTTCGATCTAGGCAGAAAAAACCCTTCGATTATGCCCTTCTTGGCTTCCTTCGATTTGGCCTGGAAGTAGTGAGGGCGTGCCTTTCGATTTGGGCTTAGCCTGAAGCATGAGATGCAGCCTTCGATTTTGCCTTTCTCCTTCCTTTGACTGGGGCCTGGAATCATCATGAGGTGTACTCTTTGCCTCAAGCTCCCTGCTGCCTTCTTCGATTGGGCCTGGCAGACAGTATGAACCACCTTCTCTTCTTCGTTTGGACCACAAAGCAGTAAGGACCTGCAATAAAACATGAGTACATATCCTTTGTGCCCTTCTAGACCTTCGTTTGGGACTGTGATGCAGCCAAGGGGGAATCCTAAGGCTTCGTTTCATACTTCCTTCCTCCTGTTTTCCTTTGTTTGGGATTTTAATAGCAACATGGCCTGAGGCCATGCTAGTATTGTTTCATGGCCATGTTAGTTCTTAAAGCATGTTTAATAAACAAAGAAAATAAGCCATAAGAGTATCAATGAAAACAAACTTAAAAGGTGGAAACAAAAAGGTGGAAACAAAAAGAAGGAAAAATGTTATGTACATGTTTGAAACGAAAGGAAAGATTATTCACATGTTATGCTATAAATGAAGGGTTCAAGGTCAAGAGTGGCTTACCTTGCTTGAAGCTGGGGTATGTGGGCTGGACCTTTAGCTGCTGTCCTGGACACTCCTAGATTCGAAGGGAAGAAACGAAGGTGACGTTTCTAATGCTGGATTCGAAGGCAGAAACCAAGTGTTGAGTTGGTGTCAGATTCGAAAGAGAGAAAGAAACAAGTATTGTATTTCTTTAGTTTCGAAGATCCAAGAAAATAAGTGTTGTATTTCTCTTGGATTCGAAGGGCCAAGGAAATAGGGGTGTTGTTTCTTCTGGATTCTGGGTTTGAATATGTGTTTAAGTGTTTGAGAGTGTTTGAATTTTTTTGAGAGTTTGATTATTTTCTTGAAGATTCATTCCACTACTCCCAAAAGTATCTTGATGTGTTGTCCATCCCTTTATACATGTGATGGAGCTTCTTATTTATAGGTGAATGTTGGCTGAAGTTTAGGAGGGAAAACAAAACAATTTGAACAAATTAAGTAAACTGTTTTTTGTAGCTTTCGAGGGGCAGCATTCGTATGCCAAATTGGTGCAAGAATAAGGGAAGTGTTTCAGGATTGTTGTGCAGCAGTTTTGGAGCGTTATGGCCAGTGTATCAGGCCTGAACTTGGCAGCAAGCATCTTTTGATATCTCCATCTTTCGTTTTGACCTCCTTCGACTAGATTCACCTTCAAACAACACTATTTGATTTTTACCCAACAAGTGTCTTTTGGATGGGTCACTTTTGTGCATCCTTCGAAGGAGCCAAATGTGTGCTCCTTGAATGGGTCACCAAAGTATGCCTTAAGTGGGTCTATAAGTCCTTTGAATGGGCTATCAAACATGTCCTTATAATGGGACACCCATACATGTCCTTTGAGTGGGTCATGTATGTATATTTGAAAGGGCCAAATGTGTCCTTCGAATGGACTATACAATTCTTTGAATAGGCTAGTAAGGTACATCCTTCGAAAGAGACCCTTATGTATGCCCTTCAAATCCACCAATACAGGTCCTTTAAGGGGGGCCACCAACCATGTGTGTTGAGGTTGTCAAGGGTGAAATTGAAGCATACTAAACGGAAACGATGTCCAGTTGAAGCTAGTGTAAACATAGCCAATGCCCTGTCGAGACCTGCATGCAGGAGGTCACTACTTTGTGACTCCAAGCAAGAATACAAGAGGAAAATGCTCAAACGAAGACTTACGTGAAGGGAGTCACATGCCTAAACGAAGGGTGTAATCAAACTTGCATTGAAGGAAGCCATATGCCCAAACGAAAAAGGCATGCAGGAGACAAATTATGCAATCGAAGGATGTCAACAGGAGGCTTTTTGCCTTGGAATCAAAGGAGGCTACATGAGGCCTTTTGCCTTGTGCCTACTGGCCTGGTGGGAGCCTCTTGCATGTAAGGAGGAAGTTATGGCTCCATCAAAGGCTGCATGCAGCCATCCATCACTTTGTGAATCAAAGCAAGCATGGAGGGAATTATTTGTCAAAGCAACACAGGCATGGAAGTATCAAATGTCCAATCGAAATAGGCACATAGGCAACCATTACATTGTGAACCATGTGAGGCCAAAGATGTAATCGAAGGTTGCATGCAGGAAGCTCCTGCCTTGTGAATCAAAGCTAGTGTGTCAGAGGCCAATGCCCAATCGAAGGATGCAAGCCAAGCTTGCATCGAAAGAGGCCAGAAGTCCAATAGAAGGATGTGAATTGAAGGAAACTTGTTTTTCCTTCAATTTTGTCAAAAAAGATTATTTTTATCTGTTTTCCCCTTTTTTAACAGCTTCCTCTTTAATTTGATGCTGGAAAATTCAATTCTACTTGTGCAAGCTTGAATTTTGAGAATCCTTGTGAGAAATACCTTGAGAAATGAGAGGGAAAATTTTGGGGTACAACAGTGAGCTAAGGATGACATGGACTAGAATGTGCGGGGGTTGGCTACTAACCCTTTTTGCTCACCACCTTTTGAGGGCTTATTATCTGTAGTATATGCGATCACAAATGTAAACACACCTGCATAATACCTACTTCAAAGGTAGGGACTTAAACAAGCACAAGTAATACACAATGCACATAATACGGAATTTCCCTAAACGGGTCTTTAAATAAACTAGAAGGGTTCCTGACATGACCAGCAACAGAGACCCCCATCATACATCTCTAGTCCTACACGACATGGTAAGAAAAGCGATAAAATCATGCTTCTCATGATCTCTAGAAAACTATAAAGTACGGAAAAATAAACCAAAATCAAAATGATACCAAACGAACAATAGTTTGTAGCACAAGCAAAGCAGAGAAACCCAGAGAACTTCGTGCAAGCTTCGCATCAACCAAAAGAGAAGTAATCAGAAAATTGGATGTAAAAGATAAGCATTGAAGCATCCATGTGAAAATAAATCACACGCATCTAAATATTCATGTAATAGTCCTGCACAAAAACTATACAATGCAAAATAACCTGCCAATGTCTCATGGTGCGAGAGACCTCGTTGGAAACTTGCACAAAATAAACCAAATGAGTTATCAGTTAACAAGACAATGTAACTCAACCTAAGCATCATCGAGGGCTCAAAATCTGCCATTAAACCACTTATCATGCAAAAGAAATCGAATCGAGGATACATAATTGACAAGGACGCGTTAAAATCCTAATTTTAAACATATGCCAAGCTTTAGTTCAATTAATTCCTAAACTAAATAGAAAAATTATGGGGAAAATATCATCAAGTCAGAAATCAACATGTTAACACCCACATTAAATTCAGAAGAAAAAAACATAAAATAGTTATCCCAAATTAATTGCTGAAAAACTAACCTCAAAGTGGGAATTAAAATAGAACAAGGGGTGTATGTTGAATCAGGGAGTATGTTGTAATAAACTGCTATGTCCAATCATATAGAGTCCATTAATAGTTTTTGTTGCACTTGGCTTCAGTATGCCAAAAATGATGGTAATGGACCTAGGCGAAACACAATGAAACCCAAGGCTCCTCCACTCAATCCAACAGCACTACCCAGTTTTTTTTTTTCTGCATCAAACCTTCAGATTCCAAAAAATGCTATTGGGCTTAGGCATAAATGCAACTGAGCCCAACAAAAAACCTCAATCCAACATAGTCCAATTATCTTTTAATTTTAGTCAGCATCATTTGTTTGATTATAAAAAAATGAGAAAATTAAACAGAAGGAATGAGAAAAACGGGAACGGCGTCATTTAATTATGTCATTAGAGTAAAAGCAAAGTGACTGCTCAGCTTCCCCGATCCTGATATTTCTCCTTCATAAACTCGAATCGGCGTTCTCCTTTAATCATTGTCTTCTCGTCGGAGTGATTTCCAGTGATGAAGCGTCATTGTTTAACCATCTCTCTGATTCAAATTCGACATTCTTTTCCTCTGATTCTCACCATACACCTCTAAATCCAACATTATATGCAAACTCTAAAACTTTGAAACACTGCAATTACACGAAGATGAAGGTGATATTGCCTCAGTGACCATGGGGGAAACATTTATGGCCCCTCAATCTATATCATGGTATGAAGCATATGCCGAAAGAAGATGACGAAAAGAGGATAGAAGCTTACCTACCAGAAGTGAACTCCGGTGGTGATAGTTTGTCAATTTGGATTGACTTCACTTGTAGAATCAAACTAGTTTTCATGGATACATTTAACTGGTTTTAGAGATGAGGGTTAATTATTTTGAATTTTCTGAACCGATTTCTATTGCTTTGTTATTTGGATGCTTGAGTCTTATTGTTTTCCCTTCAGATTTTCTATTTGTAAACTGAGGCATGGGCGGAGCAATTGGTTTATTGAAGTACTAAAGCTGATTTGAATGTGAATACTAAAAATTGTTAGTGTGTATACAATTGCATTAGGAATTTTTGTGGTCTTGATGTGGTCTGGAGCCATTTTAGTGATGGAAATTTATTGTATGCAGGGTTGCATGCTAATGAATGTTTTGGTCGAATGTTGAGATTATTTGGACTAAAAATTGGACAGGTCTTTGAGCTGATGCCATGGTTGAAATGTATAGCTGTATATATGGTATGTCGAGCTTTTTGAACTGTATGGCCACTTGTTCTTGCTCTTAACCGTATGAAAAATGCCTCGCGTGTACAGGGCTGCAATTGATGTTTATGTTGGAACCATTTTGGGTTTAGGCACCATCTGTTTGGGTTTGCATTGTTGCATCATGAGTACCTATTTGTATTATACTCCTATGCATTTTGAATTATGCTGGTGATGACATGAACGTTGCACTGATGAATCAATAAATTGGTTCTTAATGGTTTTGTAGGTTTGGCAATGGTAAAGTCTTGAGGACTTAAAGGAGAAGTTACAAGACGAAACCATAGGGTTTTGTGGGGTGAAGTTATGATGAAGCTTAGAACTAGAAACAATAGGCTGAATGTGTTTTTTTGTGTAATTTACAAAACTTTTGTAGTTTCTTTGGAATGTAATAAGGATTTGTAATGGTTGGAAGTGTAAATGAACATACGGATTTTTGTAATGGAATTTGAATCTTTACTTGAAATGTGTAATAGTTTCTTCTTCATTCAAATCATACTTGAAAACTTCTTTTCCCTCCATTTTCCTTCAATTTGCAACATTTGAACAAATATCACCGAGATTAGATGGAAACCAAAAACAAACTCATTATGGGCTTTGGTCAAAAAGTCAACCTTTCAAGGTTGACTTTGACAAAAATTCAAAATTTTTAGAAAATGACTTCCAACTTAGAAATGATTCCAAAAACTCAATATAAAATTCCAAGCTCTTTGAATGAACCATAAAGCAGTGACTTTCCAAACAAGTAATAATCATGAACCAATCCTTATCTGACGAATGGTGGACAAATGAACTCATATTCTTTTTTTTCTTTCCCAAGAACCAAAGATTACACCATGCATCTCAAGTAACAGGATGAACACCTGGACTAATGAGAGATAATTTCTCAAATGATGTCTCAATGCATATCTATTTATGACAAAACCCTTTCTCAATTGATTGGACCCCCCATAGAAGTGGATGCTTTGATTCAGAGACCATAAAGGAATCATTGTATACAAATTCAAACACGTGATTAGAGAAGTCTTTAGATGAAGATTAAGCTTGGAGTGCCGAGAAAATAACGCCAAAGATAGCCATGAAGCCAAACCTTAATTCATAGGATCTTCAGTTAAAACATCATAAGCTTGGGCACAAGAGGTTGAAAATCTTAATTCTTTGATCTTGAAGCTTATTGATGAAGAAAACCTTACAAGCCCAAAACCCTAATTCCACACTTCAATGCACAAAAAAAACAAGAAGAATCAGCCTTATTTGATGTACACACTTCAAACAAACTGTGAAACCCTAATTCTTCAAGATCTTTGATCTCATGCCAAATTTTTTGGTTAATGGTGCATGTAATGTTAAATGACCTAATAGAAAGGTATGTACATGTGATTCTAAGCCTAAGCCAGATAAAAGAAATTAGGAGGGAAAATTTTGGGGTACAACATAATAGTCCATAGGTTGAGGTTTGTAAGCTCCCCCTAAGTTCTATCCAAGTTATTTAAACTAGTTTTAGTAACTTGACAACTTCAGAGTCTAAGGTTTGTAAGCTCTCTCTGAATTTTAATAGTTCATATGTTAATTTTTGTAAGCTCCCCCTAAGTTCTATCTAGTTACTTAAACTTACTTAAAATAATCATAACATATGTTTGCATAATGGGTTCAGATTCTGATAAAAACATAAAGACTGTTTTTATCATTCACTTAAAATATTCCCATATTTCTCATATATGCTTAAAGTGTGTTCATGATCTTGATAAAAAACATAGAAAATATTTTTATTATACTCTTTAAATACTCTCATATTTATCTCCCTTTTGTCATCAACAAAAAGTAAATAAAGTAAAGAGAGGAAAAACAATAAATATTTCCGCTTCCAAGAAACTGAAGTGACCAAAGAAAGAAAAACACAAATAGTCATTTCCGAAGGCAGCAAATTAAAATCTTGTCATCTTTTACAAAACGGAAACTAAGAAGTGAAAAGATGTAATAATAAGCAGACAACATACATTAATGACTATTGGTGTTTAAACTTTCAAGAATCAAGGATAATCAATGTAACACCCGTATAAAACCCCAAGGATAATTCACGAATAAATTAATATGTAACTCAACAGAAAGCAACAACAAGGGTGTCACATGCTTCATAAAAACATCATACATACACATTTTGCTCTGTTACACGGTATTCTAAAACTTTTATATCATTTCCTTTCGGAATATCAACACATCATTCATTTACTATGCAGCGGAAAATCATAGTCTCAAAATAACTTCATTAACAACATCCTTCAAAATATCATCATCCTCATTAATTCATGAGTTATGGTTTTTAAACAACTTAAGCAAATAAAACAACTTATAAATCATATTAAAAAAAAGGAATATAAAACTCAAACCCAAATGTTCTTAATCCCGATGTTACATATCAGAACAAGACCTTATAATCAACAGAAAACAAAATAAATAACTCCAAAGCTATCCTCGCGCTCCTACGTGATATTTGTGATCACCTACGTGTTACCCACGTGGAGACAACATTCAAACAGAACGGTTGAGTAATCACAAATCATTACAAAAGATATGTGAAATAGATATATTAGTTACAACAATAATCATCAAGAAATCCATATATTGTCATACATCACATTTTATATTCACATTTTCACATCATTAATTTATTCACAACGTCATTATATCCTCAATTCAACAATCATCATCAAAGCATCACTTAAGTCACAACATCATCAAGACATCCTCTAATCAATAATCATGTAATGACACAGAGTATGTGTTGTACCCCAAAATTTTCCCTCCCATATTTCTCAATACATTTCAAGTGAGGTCCTCAAATTGCTCAAGGAAGTCCAAGGGTTGACCAGACAAACTCTCTCCTAAGGCAGTCTACCCCAAATTAGAGTTTCAGTTTGCATCAAGATGTTTGAATAAAAAGGGTCCCAAATTCTCACTATTGTCCTAATATGTTCTCAAGATCATCCATGTCAAGTTTCAATCCTTGCAGAGAAAGTTTGCTCAGTTAATTGCTCAAAGGCCTGAAAATTGACTATGCTAGGGCAAAAGTCAACTATGGCCCACATGCAGACAAAATTCAATATTTTTGGTCAACATTCTAATTTTGAAGTATTATTCATCATTTGATCAAGGTTTGATCATGATTTCTCAAGGATTGCCCATAATTCATCAAAACCCAAAAGTTGTTAAATTAGGGTTTTGCAGGAAAAGTCAACTCAACTTTGACCAAGCATAAATTTGTAATACTTTATCAAGAATGACCCATCCAAAGATCATTTTGAAGAGGATGAAATGCCCTACAATTCATATTTAGCTCCCAAGTTAAAAATATGCACTCACAAGAAGTTATGAATTTGGACATTATAGGTCACTTTGAAAAGTCAACAAAAACACCTTTTTTGTCAAAGCTTCATACTGAACATGGAAGATTAAATTGAGATGAGACCAAAAGAGTTGATTATAGTTCATCTTGAGCTTTCTAAAAAGAACAGATCTCTAGGGTCAAAATTGAAGGAGTTATGCATGGGTGAAGTTGACCTTTTTTGCAAAATTGACAAAAGTCAAATATGCCTCAAATTGCAATTTTTGTCAAATGGGCCTAACTTTTTGTGCTTGTATTGAGTTTGTAACATGATCCACGACCCATAACCCTTCCTGTTGTACCCCAAAATTTGCCCTCCCATATTCTTCAAGAAATTGCCAAGCCAAGTCACAAAATTCCCCAAGGGTTGCATAGTGCAAGGGCCTCCTAAACAGTCAAAATTAGGGTTTTGAGTCTGATCAAGAAAAGGAAGTATTCAAAGGCCCAATCAATTCTCATATGCTTACAAACATGGTCAAGCATCCTCATATCAAGTTTCAAGGCATTCAGCTCAAGATTGCACAGTCAAAACCCTAAATTGCACTACAGTCAACTGTAGGGGCAAAATGGTCATTTGACAGTCAAAAGTTCAAATTTTTGGTCAACATATCATTTTGAAGCCACAAACATCATTTGATCAATGCTTGATCATGATTCTCAAAATTTGGCTCATAAAATCATCAAGATGCAAAAGTTTCCTTATTTGGACAGCTGAAAAAGTCAACTGAAATTGACCAGGGCATAACTTTCACATGGATTATCAGAAAAATTCCATCCAAAGCTCATTTTGAAGAGAAAGACATTTCCTACAACTCATCTTCATACTTCAAGTCCAAGAAATTCTCTCACAAAAAGTTATCAATTTCAACATTATAGGTCATTTTCAAAAGTCAACAAAAAGGGACTTTAAGTCAAAGGCCATAACTTGAGATTGGAAAATCAAAATGACATGGGACCAAAGGCATTGGTTAAAGGACTCAAAGACCTTTCCAAAATGTCCAAGAACATGAGAAAAGCTTAAACATTGAGCAAGTTATGCATTGGAGAAGTTGGGAAATTTTTGTGAAATGGCAAAAGTCAACTATCCTTGAAACTTCAATTTTTGACAAAAGGGCCCACTTTCTTCCACTTGATTCAGCCTTTTCATGCCACACACGTGTCCCATGATTAATTTCAAGACCAAACATTGATTTTTCTATTTTATTTAATTTTTGATAATTTAATTCATTTTAAATCTTTAAAAATTCAAATAAAATCTAAAAATCAATGGAATAGTGTCATTTGAATTGGAATAGCTTCCATATATCATGTGCCAGCTCACAAACTCATGCTAGGGTTAAGTTGTACACCAAGTCTTGGTTTTGCTTAAAAAAAGGGAAAGTTGGTTAATGGTGAAAAACCTAAGACTAATTCTCTCATGGGCATGGATCAAGGCCAGCTAATGACCTAATTCCCTTCCCTCATAAGTGCTGAGTCAAAACCTGATGCCCACACACTGAATGCTGCGCAGGAGACACCATTGCCAACTTGAAAAATTGTCCAAAAAACTCAAAACTGAATTCGTTGTTAGAGGTTGATTCAAGTCCTAATATTGATTCTAAAAGCTTCCTTGTGGTTCACTGATCATATTCCAATTCATAACACTCATCAAAAGGCAAGGAATCAGTGTACAGAACTCAGCATATGTCGTGAAAAACTCACAATCGTATTCTTAAATTTAAGCATTTTCATAACATTTTTTGCATGGATTCTTATTCCTCCTGCAATTCTAAAGCTAACTGATCCATTTAATTGCGTTTTCATGTGTTATGTACAAAGATGCCATTGTAGCTTTTTAGGGTTTGCAGGTTTTCGAATTAGGG